CAGGTCCTAATGATTCTACTTCCAAACTGTCATTTGAAATTTGTCTACAGCAATCACTCCTAAAGACCTCTCAGCTTCCATGAACATAAGGCCCCTCTAAACTCCAAACTTCAGAATGTCCACTAGGTAATTCTTGTGTTTTAAATTATCCAGAGGCTTTTAATTGCAGTTAGAATCCAGCCTCTATCCTTAGGCCTCAGGGCCATTCAAGATGTGATCTAATCTACCATCCCTTTCTTTCCTCTATACTCAGAACACAATGATCTTTCCAGTCTTGAAAGTTGCCTGGCTCCTCCCCTGGCTCTTACATAGTCTTTGCACCTATTCTTTCCTAAAATATATTGTTCCTAGAGATCTTTTCATGATTATCTTCACAATTTATTTTTCAAAAACCATCTCTATGTATTGACACACTCTTGCACACTCTGTTGTATTATTCTTCCTGCATTCTAATTCTTTTTTATTTTTAATAGAACTCTTTGGTATCTGAAATTGTTATGCATCAATTTATATTTGGAATGTACCTCTCTCAGAACAGAATGGCCTTGTTGCCTGTTTAGGAAAAGGTGGGGAAAGGAAAAAACTACTTCTCAATCTTTTATGATGAGCCTACATCATAGCAGATATAAAGTGCTCCAATTCACCTGGAGGTAACCATAATTGGTCTTTGAATAAATACTTACTCATACCAAAACAAAACCAAAAGTAGTTGTTCCCTTCAAAGTAGAAGTTTCATAGAATTTTAGGTTTGCGAGTCATGTTTTATCAGTTTACAACCAAGTGTCAGTATAAGATAATGCTTCTGGAGATCATTCTATATGAGACATTTAAACCAAGTTGTGGGCTTACATCAAGTAGATGACCCATGAGTAACTGTTTCATTTGTATGGCATTCACTTAGGTTATTTAGGATATTAAATCAACAAAACATTTCCCGGCATCTCCTAAAAACTCATCTCCCTACTGCAAACTCTTATTTAGTGGCTTTGTTGATTTATCGAGAATCCCTGGAATTAAAGCATTGACCACAAAGTGTTCCCAAATTCCCACAGTATTTACCTAGTTCATAACTATTTATACATAGTTTTGTGTACTTGATAAGGACAGGGAATATTTTTGGAGACTTTGTTTTTGAGTCCCTGTGACCTGGGAGCTCCTCAACAAAGGCATGAGCTCTACCACTCATCAGGAGAGGAAGGAGAGAAATATAGCACTAAGAAGGGAAGCATCTGAGTGTCAGGTGAGGACAGCTGTTACTCTCTGGTCCCCACATGTTAATTACTTCTGAAATCTACGTTATTGTTTTGTGTAACCCGGCTTAAGTATTCTGCTCCAGAGTCTTTATGCATTAATCTATAGCAAAGATGGGGCAACCAAGGTTAGGGGTTGGAATGGGAACAGTGAGAGAGAAATGGGTTTTGCAGAGGGTAGTGGTTTACCACCCTTCACAATTCAAATAGAAAATGGGGATAAATCTGAACATTGTCTTTTCATATAATAAAGTGGATTTTAAAATATTCGATGCAGAAGAAGCAGTTTGCCAATTTTTGTTGTTACTGCTTTGTTTTGAGGTTCATCTCTCTTGTTTAAGGGAAGAAAGTGGCAAATGGAGTACGCAGAGGCAGAGTGAAAGGTGAATTAATCTAAATCAGCCAAATTAGATAGAAGAAGAGGAGTTGGAACTGTCCTTACAAAGAATTCTTGATTTGATTTTTTCCCCCTTTAAACCTTAAGTCATCTGTTTTCAAAACTTCAATGTGAACATCACTCACCTGAGAACAGTATTAAAATGTCAACTTCCAAGACCCCCACCCCATCCTGCCGCATAGTTCAGATGTAGCAGGTCTATGGCAGAGCTCTAGAATCGATATCTTAAACACTTACCCCAAGTCAACCATGATGCAAGTGACCCTAGAACATTACCAGGGCATGGTACCACACACATGTAATCCCAGTGACTCATGAGACTGAGGAAGGAGGATCATAAGCTCAAGGCCAGCCTGGGCAATTTAGAAAGACCCAGAGTCAAAATAAAAATAAAAAGGGCTGGAGATGTAGCTCAGTGGTAAAGTGCTCCTGGGCCAAATTCCTAGTACCAAAAAGAAGGAGGAGGTGGAGGAGAAGGAGAAAAGGAAGGGAAAAAGGGAGAGGAAGAGGAGGAAAAGGAGGAGGAGGGGGAGGAAGGGAAGCACATTGGCAATGATGAGTTTTTACCTCTAAAAATGAATGAGGGGAGTGAATGGGAATGGGAAATGGTGACCTTAGAGGTGACCAAGGTGTCTAGCTTTTCAACCCTGGCTAGTCACTGCTCTTCTGTCTCAGCACTTCTCCATCCACTTTGCCCAAATCATAAAACTCACACAGTTTTTCAATATAGCACTTCCTAACACCCCAGTTCTTTGGATTTATGTATATGTTTAGAGCTGATAAATGAAATTTCTCTTTTTCTAGGCACATTCTGTTTTTCTATTTCTGGAGGATACCAAAAACCTCATTAAGAAGTTTGATCAATTGCATGGGAGTATGAGCAGCTGAAGAGATGAAATAGATGAAAAAAGAACACAAATCCTCAGATTACTAATATGCAAATCCCTAAGCACAAGCTGAGTAAATACCTTCAATTCTCACTAACAGCTTCAGAGAAAGGCAAATTTTATTCACTTCCTGCTTTCCCTGCTAATCATTTGTGTAGACCTTTCATAAAATAATAAAAAACCAAAACATCCCTCTTTCCAGGTTTAAAAAGGATTCATAGATTATAAATACTATCCAAGAGAATATGACCTAATCCTGATGACTTGGTAAACTATTTGACCAAGATAACTTAGCTGGCTTGTGGTAGGTGACTCTAGAGCCAGTTTTTAAAGATCTTAATAGTGATGACTGAGCTAGCAGATCATGAAGTCTATTTCTTGGATCTTGACCATTATTTTTAGAAAAATTAAACATTAAAAAGGAAATGTCAGAGGTATTAATTACATACACAGCCACTGTTGCATGAAACATGTTTATATATGTGTGTACACTCAACACACCTGTACACAAATATGTGCAAATTGGATTACCACATAAAGTCTATATTTTATCACAGTTGGGAAACCTGTTCTGTTCCATTATATGGCCTCAAAAACTATTTGAAAGAAGGAGCACTGGAACTGGGTCTTCAGAGTTTGTTACAATTTTACTGAGACCACAGAGAATCCCACATTTCCTACCAGATCTCTAAGGAAGTATCATCCTCAGTATTTACAAATTAAAAATTAAAATCTGCCAGGCATGGTGGCACAGGCCTCTAATCCCAATGACTCCAGAGCCTGAGGCAGTAGGATCTCAAGTTCAAAGCCAGCCTCAATAACTTAGTGAGGTTACCTCAAAATTTTAAAAATTTTTAAAAAGGGGAGCGCTGGGATGTGGCTCAGTGGTAAAGTGCCCATAARTTCAATCTCTAGTACTAAAAAAATAAAAATCTGTAATGCCTTGTGTGAAAATTTATACTGGGGAAGCAAATGCCACAATCAAGCCAAAGGCAATCTAAATATTCATTCATCATGCAGTATTTTGAATTGTAGTTGAAATGAATAAGCCGGAAAGGCAAACGAAAATGAATTCAATTGATGGACAGGAGGAAGGAAGGAAAGACTTAGAAGTCCAACAATGGGCATATTTAAGTAAATTAAGACACCATGCTCTATTGTAGTCACATAATTTCAGTTGGGGAATACCCTCTGATTCAGAGTTTCCAGAAGGGTGTTATTCATCATCTAGAATATGCTTCCCCAACTTAGATCCCAAAGATGGTAGTATAGCAAGGATCCAGAGCATTCTTCAAAGGTATATAGCTCAACTTGTGATGGGAAGTTCTTTTAATGACAAAGCAATTGAAGTTTCACTATGTCGAGGAACTTTGAGGAAGTCACAAAAATCCACAATTTAAAAATATATTTCCTATTACACACACATAACTACTTTCTAGAATAAAAACCTTATGAGTCTGTTTTTACCGTGTGTATGTTGTACCAAGGTATATCAAGTAATATCAAAATGTTCAGTCACCTTCCAAAGATTCTTATTAGAACGGGGCAGAACCTGACAGTAGAATTTACTAAGATGTCCTGGAGTAAGAATGAAAGAACCTAAAATCAAAGACTAAAATCTTTGTGATTTCAGGTGTTTGTTTATTTTAAATTTTTGTTTAAGATATAATAGATGTATGTTTATTTTAGTTTTGGGCACTGTTTGTTAAGAGTAGTTAAGTTAGATTTTTTTTTTTTTTTACACATTTTTGGCACATATAGTTGTATGCCGGATTTTTGTTACATATTTATACATGCACGCAATATAATTATACAATTTGGCCAATATCATTCCCCAGTATTTTCCCTTTCCCTCTTCTTCCTCCCCCATTTTTTTTTTCACTATAGTATGATGTCTTTAATTTTTTAGGATAAATACTGAGTAGTGGTACTGCTGGGTCATAGGGTGGTTCTATGCCTAGTCTTTTGGAACTGCCATGCTGATTTCCACAGTGGTTGTACTAATTTACAATCCCACCAAAGTGTAAAAGTGTTCCTTTGTCTCCATAACCTCTCTAGCATTTATTACTGTGTTTTTGATGGCTGCCATTCTGACTGGTGTGAGATGAAATCTCAGCTGCAGTTTTGATTTGCTCTAATTGCTAATGATGCTGAACATTTTTTTCATGTGTTTGGGGGGGCTTTGTAAAAAAATTTTTCTTTTGAGAATATATTTCCATTCACTTGCTGAGCGTTGTTCTTCATGAAAACCTTACTTACTTACGGGAAAAAGCGGGGCTGGAAAGTTTCACTTTTCGTTTCGTTTTCATAAATACTTATCCCAAGAACCTAGCTGACAGGGAAAAGCCCACACACCTAGTGGAATTGCCCTGGGGCGGAGCTTTGTGCCAGATGGGCGGGGACGCCCTCGCTCGCGAGTCTTTAGAGCGCACCCGCTACACCCCCTGGTCGCTTAATCCTGGGTACCGGCTCCCCGCACAGCCAGCCACGAGTCTCCCCACCCGCAGGTAGGGAGCGTCCTTCTCCCGCCCCGCACCCACTCCAGGTGTCTCCGGTCGCTACAGGAGGCATTTAAAAGACTGGGTCTTTGGGATGGAGAGAGGAGAGGGAAATGGGAAGTGTGATACTTTGTGGTGCAGCAGAACTCATTTGTATGGTAGAGTTAAGACCTAAAAACAGGCCTTTTGACAGTTGCTATTGTTTTGCACTAATGTCAATCTTTTATGTGAGGGCATGTGCATGGATACGGTCCTGAGAGGTAGCTGGGTCTAGAGAGAAATTACTAGATTGGAAACCGGGACATTTGGCTTCTAGTCCAACATTAAGTTATCACTTGTAATGTGACTCAGGGTAAGTCATCCCACCTTCAGCATCTCCGAAGGTCCCTTCCAGTCTTGAGATCCAGGATGCAAAGGCCTAAGTTTCTTGCTGTATCTGCTTGAAAGATCAAAGGGAATCCTGGAGGAAGAGTGGACCAGCCTAAGAATAAAAATGCTAAGACATTTCTTAGACACATTGACTTTGACCTATGTCTAAATTCAGTTTGGGGTTGCTTTAAAACACAAGGAGTAAAAGTACCATTGTTCTAACTAGTTGTTGTTATTGTATATTTAACTGTGAATGCTTTTCTATGAATTAAGTAGCCTTCTAAAATATTTTTTAATTGTTGTATTTCATGGTGCTACGGAACCAATATTACCCTCCCATTGCTGAACATAATGGTTATTCATAGGGTTCACTACGCTAGCCATTCACCAAACTATTGCACATAAGTCTCTAGGAAATTGCCAATTTTTGCCTTCAGATAAACTGTTAGAAGTGTAAATAGTCAGTGTCTTGTATATTTGAAAGACCTTTTCATGAATATTTAAAATTGCCTTCCAGAAAAGATGTACCAGTTGACAACGACAGTGGTCAACAATATATAAGGAGAACTATGATACTCGAAGAAAAAACAAAAAGTAGATTTTTTTTCAGTGGAAAGTGAGGTAGAAGCTACATGATAGCAGTCAGAGTATGGTCTTCCACAAAGCCTGAGAAATAGCTTGGGGGTTTGAAGTCGCATGTGGAAAATGTACAAGAGTGATTCAGTGTGACTGGGGCAGGGGGATGAGGTTTAGTACAGTTTAATAGAGCTTAAAAATTTACTAAAGATTTGATAGATCAACTCTCTTAGTCCTTGCTTTTACTTTTGAGAAAGAAAACTTGCATTGTTGCATCTTCCTCATAGCCGTCCTACCCTGGGAAGATAGAGACAATGGTATCACTTCCTTGGTGTTGTACTGGACTTCTCCCAGGGGCAAACCCACTTCCCCATCCTGAACAGCCCTTGTTTCTTCCCCAGGTCACATTTCATTGCTCTGTGAAAGTGTCCACTCTTGTCTGGGAATTCACACAAGGTCAGTTTCTTACCTGAAGAAGACATCAGTGTTCTCTTGGATCAACTACTCTCATGTGAGTTTTAAAGATCAAAGAACATGTTTATTTACATGGTCTCTTTCCTCCCCCTTTTCTTCTCCCACTCATGATAGTTGAACTCCAAGGGAACAAAGCCTTAGAGGAGAAGGGATGATGAAGAATTAGGTAAATATCAAATCTAATCCATCACCTTCAGTAAACTTTAATTGCATCTAAAATTTCAACCAGATTCATTAAAGGATTAAAACTCCACCAGAGTATGCCATAAACATTTTCAAAATTAGTTGTAACCCACAAGTGAATTTAGTGTCTCTCTGTTTTATTCAACAGTGCTTTGCTTGTAATTAGGGGTATCCCAAATCCTCTACTGCCTGATAAACATATTTGTGTTTATAATGTCACATTAATATTTTATAATTTGCTATAATCAATACTGGCTCAATGAAAAAACACTCAGATGCTGCAGCCTCATTTTTGCAACCTTTGTGTCCTCAAAGGATTAGTTATATTCCTGCTTCTTATCTGCAGTGTAGCTGGAGAGGAAAGAAATAAGAATTGTGCACCTTGAACTAGCAAGAGGATGATTCATTTTATTTTTAATATTTTCATATATGCATTTTTAACATGAAAGAAACATGTTAGCATAACTATACAAAGAAGTTATCAGATAATTCCCAAAGAACTAAACGATAAACAAACCCACAAAAAATTCAAGTTGTACTTTTCAGTAATGAAATTAGGAAAAAAATTTTAAATAATGCCAGAGGTGGATGAATATACTATATAATGGTACCAATTTTCAGAATAAGAACCAAGAAAATATTTTTTTCTCCTTGATCAGCAATTCTTTTGGGGGAAATCTATCTTTAGGGGCTAACCTGGGGCCTGGCACATAATAAACACTCAATAAATAGTTTCTGAATACACAACACTTGTGATTTTTTWAAATTGGCAATAATTTGATACCTAACAATAAATGAATAGAATGAGACTATTAAATAATGTATATGAATATCACACACCAAATGGAAAACATTTATCATAACCTTCAATAAAAATTAATATTAAATGTATGTTAACATTCTCTTCTTTTAAAGATTCATAGGGAAAGAGACTGAAAGAAAAATATTTTCCTGAAATACAATGGTCACAGAGTTTCTTAACCTTGGCACTTATTGTTTTCTAGGCCAGATATGTCTTTTCTGTAGGAATGCTGTCCTGTGTGCTTCAGAGCACGTTCCTGGCCTCACTCCTAGATACCAGCAGCAACTCTCCCCTACCCAAAACCCGTTTTGACAAYGAAAAATGTTTCCAGGTTATTACTAAATGTCCCTGCATGACAGTGATAGAATAGAGGGTTTTCTCCCTCCTTTCTCTTTTTTCTGTAATGTGGTTATATCACTTTTATAGTGAAGAAAAACATTAGATTAATATCCTCATTCTACCTCAATATTTGGACTCCATTTCTGGGGTTCTTCCATTATACCACTTTAGTTTGCCAAAAACTCATCATTTTTTTTTCTGATAAGAAAAGTAAAACCATTATTCATTTGAAAACTCAGAAAAACACTGATGAAATCAATCACAATCCCATTTATCCTTTTTCTTCCTTTTAAAAACTATAAGTGGGTGAAAACTTACTTGCCTTCCCTCTAATTTCACTCATAGATATGATCATTGTCGGTATTTTGGACATTTCCTATGTCTAAAGACACACACACACACACTTTTTATTTGTTGAACAAAAATGGATTTCTGCTTCTCTGTTCTGAAGTTCCCTTTCTATGCCTCCTTTTGCAAAAGCAATACATATACATGTACTGAATTCTATCCTTAATGATATCATATCAACAGAACAAAATTTATTTAACCATTCAGACCATCTAGGGTATTTTTTTCTGTTTTGAGATATTATTAACAATGCAATGTTTTTACATATATTATTGTATGTATGTGTTTGTGGGATTGTATGATAGACTTTTAGGAGAGGAGTGAAAGGTCACAGGGACAGATACATTTAAAATTTCAAAAAAGATTACCAAATAGCCCTCGGAAAAAAGATATACAGCTTCTCCTTCCCACCATTGATGGGCAACAAAGCCTATTTGTATATGTCCTCATAAACACCAAACATTAGTAATCTTTGTAATTTTGGTCAAGCTAATAAGTGAAAATGGTATCTTATATCCTAAATATACATTTTATTGGTGCCATCCTTTCCTATGTTTACTGGTATTTTTTAGTCTCTGAGCTGTATGTTAGAAATTATTACTTGTTTTACTCTTGGGTTACTGTAGTTTTCTTATTGATTTTTAGGAGCTATTTATATATTGGGAACATTAATCTTCTGCCTTATATATCTGTAGCATTGATTAATTTTTGTGTGTATTTATATAGAGGTTGGAGAGATACTGACTTTCTTATCAAAGTGTATAAATATAACACAAAAGACAAAAATGTGTTAATAAATAAATAGCATGGCTGAAATAMCACAAATTTCTCTTCCTCCCCTACTTGAATATAAACTCCAAGAGAAGAATGACTTTTCTTTTATATTCATTGCCATATCTCCAGTTCCTAAAATAGTGTCAATCACAGAAGAAGTGCTCGATCAATGGTTTGCTGAATAAAAAAAWTCAGTAAAACTTTAAGCAAGATGATAAAATGAAGAAAAGAATGAATATAGATAACTCTGGGAGAGTGACCATGAGACATTCATATCTTAACATAAATTGACCAACTCTCTCATCTTCCCATCTCTTGTTACTAACAAATTCTGTTTATTGAAAGAGTAGGATTTGTAGTTTGGAATAAGTGAGAGGCATAAAAGATTTTGAGGGATGCATCTGGCCTACTTGTTATAGTAGAGTGGAAGTCTTGAAGAGCCAAAGGTTAAAATGAAAATATTTAGTCATAGAAGGAAAAAAAAATATTGGAAGGTGAGAAGTAGAAGTCAAATTTTCCTTACTTTGAAATTTTTGCATAGGGCACATTTGAGTTTCTAGATAAGTTACCGTGCAGAAAACATGAACTAACTGAGAGGATTTGGGCAAAGTATTTTCTTCTTGGCTTTTGTTGAGTGTACATTACAATTTACAGTTTTTTTCAGGCCTGTAACCAAATTTAAAGATGCTCATCACAGTAACTCTATTCACTTGGCTTTATGCAGTTCTGTGCTATTAAATAAAGGTATTTAACTTCCAAATTCCCCTGCTATGGTTCCACACTTAGAACATCAGTCATCACCTGGTTATCAGGACTATTTCACTTAGAACTGCCAAGTGCCCTCCTGTTGTGCTATGTGTTCAACTGTTGAATAAAGCAGTCTTCTTTTTGTGTTTTCCATAACTAGGTCATTGCAAAAAGATGACGATGTTTAATGTCTTTATATTCACATCCTTCTGTCATTTGCTGAACGGTAAGACACCAAATCCCTTCATTAGGTTCTGTATTTTAGCTATTTTAACCATGAGTTAAAAACTTAAATAATTTTAAGTGGACATAATTTGTATAGAGAGAACAGTCTACTTATTTCATTTTTAAAAAAAATCACCTGTGACATTGTATAAAGACAGACAAATTGAAAGAAACAAAATTCAATTATGTCCCATGAATAACTTATTGAAAATTTCTAGAGAAATGGCCTATACGTACATTATTTGCTTATATTAAACAAAGCCAGGATCACTGTTGATATTGCTTATGACCTGCTTTTCCTGATGAAAATATTCTAAGGAAGAATTTTAGTGTGTATCGAAGTTTTAAGGGTAACACAGCACTGGAAACATACTGGGGTCCTCTCTAAATTTCCATACCCACTTACCTCTGACCAGAGAATGGATCAAAAATATAGGGGAGTAAGAAGAGAAGATTATGAAATCTACCACTCAGACTGTGTTGAAAGCAAAGGACATTCTGGGGATGTCCATGTGAAAATAGGTCTCTGTGGTTATAAGTTCTCCATCACCATATAATATTTTTACAGGAATGTATGTTTACAAATTGCGGGGCAACTTGTTTAGCTAGTTTTATAATTGTAATGCAGGGATCAGAAATAGTGTCCCAAAACATGTTTCAAGCCCACTGGATAAAACATGTATTTTAAGGAACTAAAATCCTTAAATATAATTATCCTATAACTCACCGGATAAGGTGATTGCAAGCCCTCTACCCATTTTGTAAATGTTTTAAGGAATTTTCTATGTTCTGAAGATTTGCCATCTTTCTTTTCAGCCTTTAGTATCACTGTTCCCAAGGACCTGTATGTAGTTGAATATGGCAGCAATGTGACAATCGAATGCAAATTCCCAGTAGAAAAACAACTAGACTTGGGTTCATTAGTTGTCTACTGGGGAAAGGAGGATGAGGAAATTATTCAGTTTGTGCATGGGAAAGAAGACCTGAAGGTTCAGCACAGTAGCTACAGGCAGAGGGCCTGGCTATTGAAAGACCAGCTCTACCAGGGAAATGCTGTCCTTCAGATCACCAATGTGAAATTGCAGGATGCTGGGGTTTACTGCTGCATGATCAGCTATGGTGGTGCAGACTACAAGTGGATTACCTTGAAAGTCAATGGTAAGAATTATTGTAGATAAAGAAAGCTAAACCTTAATGAAAAACATATCCTAAGTGTTGAGAGCTTATCATTCTTAGAAGTTCAGACTTAATTTCCAACAGAATACCAGCAACCTGTTCACTAATTCATTCATATACTCATCTAGTGAGTACTTCTTTGAGCACCTTTTATTTGGCAGTCTCTGGTGATCCAGAGTCAAGTAACACAGAGCCATGTTATACAGTATGTTCAGTTTTCCACATAATAAATTCCCAGTTTTTACTTTTTTATTATTATAAAAGCAATACATGTACCTGCAAATAATTTGGATGCTATGGAAAGGAATAAAATGAATTGTAAAAGCTTCCTTCCTCCCTTTACCACTATCTTTCACAGCATGCAAATATAGTTAATACTATTTGTATATCCCTTTGGAAGTTTTTTTTCATTATTTTAATTCAATTGCTATTTTTTAATTTTATTAGGTCTGCTGTATTTTCCTTCCTTGGAATGTCTGTATGTCTCAAACCCCAATAAATATATTTAAAACAAATCCCATAATTAGTTTCACATTCAATAACAGTTTAAGCCAATCTATGAAGGCAAAAAATAATCACATCAAGTATAAAGAAAGCCATTTGTCCCCAGAGATGCCAACAAACTCTGATCACCAAGCATGTATTTATCTTAAGAGTGTATGTACCAGTGTTATCTTGGAGTGTTCAAGAGGAACTGTAAGTGTTAATTCCTGAGTACTGACCCATAACTATGTCATCAGGTCACTAGAGTTCAAAGTATTGGGTTGGTACTAGCTAAGGGAAGGAAAGCACCTTAGCTGACCACCTCTGCTTTCACTGTTGAGTTTCATAGAATTGAGAGGTAAAAGGATCCCAGGAATGAGCAGCTAATCCAAACTCCCACAAAGAACAACAACAAMAAAAAAACCCCAAAGGATCTTCTGTTTCTGGTTTGTTTGTTTGTTTGTTTTTGTATCAGAGATTGAGTCCTTAACCACTGAGCCTCATCCCCAGCCCTTTTTATTTTTTATTTTAAAACAGGGTCTTGCTAAATTGCTTAGGGTCTTTCTAAGTTGATGAGGCTGGACTTTGAACTTGCAATCCTATTGCCTTGGCCTCCCCAGCCACTGGGATTATAGGCATGTACCACCTCGCCTGGCAGATCTTCTGTTCTTATACTCCCCATATTTACCAGAATTCATTCATCTCCCCTTGGTCTTCCCATTCCTAAGATAACTATCATCAATCTGAAGGTCCATGATATAAACAGGAAAATTTAGATTTATTATGAAAGATCACTGATAATTATAAACTCAAAAATAAAAATTATATAGTGATTAGGAGAAATGCATCCATTTTATGGCACATTACTGGGTGTCTGATGCTGGCTTAATTAATGCTACTGATGTTAAGAAAATGTCACTTGCCTCATGAAGTAGACTTGATTTTCATTATGTTTTACCATTTGCTTCTCCCTCAAGACAGTCATGGGAAAAAAAAAAAACAAAACTTGGGATGTGGTTGTTTAAATTGTCAACTTTTCTTGGGTTCATCAGCAATATTAGGTATCTATTGTGTTCAAAGGCAATTAAATAAATTAGCAAGCTTTAAGCCATTAGCTTGCTAGATCTAGGATGGGGTGAAAGAACAGCAACCTGGCAGTCAGGAAGAAGGAAGCATAGAGTTTAAGTTTCTGTTTCCAAAGGTCTCTGATCAGCCTGTCAGGAGGATGCAGGCAGATGGCTGATTTTGTAAATGAGAAGAGTTTATACCAGGTTATCTGTGGCTCTATAATATCTCTTCAACATAATAAAAGATCTTCTAGCACTGAAGGTTTTTCCTAGGAGGGATCCTTGATGAAGCAAAGCAAGTGACCAACCAGATTTGAAACCTGGTTTGTTGAGCCATTCATCCCAAACCATCTTATTATTTGCATACAGGAATTATGGTTTATAAATTAGCCTCTCATCCCAAACCATCTTGTTATTTGCATACAGGAAGATGAGTTGAGCTAAAGCAGGTCTCAACATTCTGTGTTGAGAACAAGCCAGCCACCAAGCTTCAGTTGCACTGAGGCACTGCCACCTGTGGACATTTGGTGGCTAGCTTGCACAATTTTACAACCTAAGGAAATAGAACTACTGAGTCACCTCTTTATGCAAATGATTTCACAGTAATGCTCTTGGACTTCTCTTCCCATCACTGCAAATATGTGGTAACACAGCTCCCCACAGGGAGTTTACTCACCACGGGGCTTTATAAGTGAAGCATTTCAAAAGTGAAATTTRGAAAGGTTTGGTTTTGGATTAACTCAATTCTTATCACTTTGGGTGTTATTGCACCTTTTGTGAACAGGTTATAATATGTGGAAATTTATTTCCAATGGTGTTCATCAGGAATTGCCACAAGAGTACACTTCAGTATTAAAAGAGGAAGAGAAGCAGCTCTACCGGTACTACTGCTAACACTTGGGTAGCACTTCTATGGGTTAAGCTCTGTATTAAGCTTTTTTGCCTAAATCATTTCATTTAATCTTCAACATGACTCTTGTCTAAGGTGAATATTTTTCACATTTTACTAGCTCTGAAATTTGAATGTGTACTTTTGATAGGTATCTTAGATTCAATGATATGTGGCATTATTCTTCCCATTTTAAGAATGGGGAAACTGAGGGCTGCGAAATCAAGCAATTTATCCAAGGCCATCAGACTAATAAGTGGTAAAGCTGAGTTCTAAACCCAAGCAGACTGGCTCTAAAATCTGTCATTAATAATCATGTTTTTCTGCCTACCTTTATACCTCTGGCATGTGTATCAGGTTGTATGACTTCAAAACTACTTTGAACTTTTCTTAATCTTGATCAACCAACATTAGCATAGTGCTCTAGATCTAGTAAACCAGAAGTCAGCAAAAAATGTAAAACATTTTAAACTAATGTGTGTATAATTATAAAGAATATACTTTGTACTAATATATAGATCGTATTATAAGGAATTGACATTTTAAAAGGCAAAGAGGATGACTTTCACCAACTTCATATGGTACATGATATGTTCTAGGAATATACAAAAATAGACATTTCAAAAAGTAAAGTAAAATTACCAAGCAATACTTTTAATATCTTGCTAATTGAGATGCTTCACTCATTAGTTTATATGGCAAGGCATAATGCACCTTAGGGTAAAATTCATCATTAGCAAAGGTAGACAGTCTTGATAATCTTGAGGATTTTAGTCCACACTTTGTCAAGTCCAATTAGGTCTTTATTGTTTTAACCTCATAAAGTAGTTGGTAAAAAAAAATCCCTTCTGACATTTCCTTTTGGTTTGTATTTAAATTACTAGTATTATCTTCAATTCTTGGTTTCTTTGTGGAAAAGTTTTTAATTAGTTGTTCATTTCATGAGATTAGTTAAAAGTAGATGTTAGAATTTGAAAATCCATAGTAAGTACAAACTGGGTCCTCATTCTCCCTTTGGTGTTGTGAAAGTCCTCTTCCTGTAAGACCCCTGTGTGGCTGACTGAGACCCAGTGTCAAAAAGCAAAGCTTGTGAAGCTTAAATTATTTTTTAATTGATATGACAGAAATGCATGTAAGTGGAAGTTCTACATTTTCTTCCCATACCTTCACACATGTTCCCCACTTTAGGGACTAATGTGCAGCTATGTACTCAGTCCTTGTGGAGTGAACCACTCATTTGTTGGCTCTTAGGGCTGCATCATATGTGTACTTACTCCTCTGTGTGAAACAGCATCCTTTTTCACCCTTCTTCCATTTAAAGTGATAATAGAAGTGTTAAAAAAAAAAGGCAAAAGCATTTTAACCCTAGTATTTATCACTAACAGTAAGTTTAGGTTGAAATTCGAATCGCCCATAAACCAAGCTCTGTGCTATGTGAACTTGATCCTGTTATGTTAATAGCAGTTTGTGAAGTATAATCAGTGGATTCATTTTTAAGTGGTCTTTAAATATGACAGATAAAAGATGGATGGCCCAATTATTTTTGTGTTTCAAAATCATAATTATATTGATTTTATTGGTTGTGATTTCCTTGATTTAAGAGCACCAAAACATCACATCATTATTTATTTATTTTGTTTTATGCTAATCGCTTTGTTAAATCTCTGTGAAAGTATTATATCACAAAGCTTTTGTTATGTCTTTGGTAAAGAATTGGAGAGTTATAGATGATTAGTTGTTCATTAAAGTATTAGGTATAAAGCAATGGTTATGTCAACAGAATTAAAAATATGTTGATGTACTTGTAATGAGTAAACATGAATATAAATCTTATGCTATATATAAGCATTAAACAATCTACTAGAATAGTCAGCAGACTGAGTATCTTAATCCTAAAAAGTTCTCAAACCAATTATCTAAAAACTAATTAGACTTTCTGCCATGAATATAATAATTAAAAGATGTACTAAAATAGCAAACATAAAATTTTTTTTTAAAATCATATATGGTAACCCAGATGGGATCCTAGAGCAGGAAAAGTACATTAGGGAAAAGTTGGTGGAATGGAATAAATGATGGAATGTGGTTAATAGTGATGTACTAATGTTGGCACTTCAGTCATAGCAGTTGTACCAGAGTAATGTAAGATGTGAAAAATAAGGGAATCTTGGTAAGGAGTATATAGTAACTATTATTTTTACAACTTTTTTTTGTAGATCTTAACCCATTCTCAAATTTAAAAATGTACTTAAACTTTAAAAAGGGTCACTAGGAACAAGTATTAATTTTCACAAGTGACATAGTATGTCTTTTCAAATCTAACTTCTGATCATTGACTCAAAGTTGAACAAGTAAAGGACTATCAAAATCAGTTTATTCGATTAAGTCTAAGGTATAGTGCATGCTAGCTAGAAAGATTCATGTTTATGAAGACAGCTTTACAATAAAAACAAAGGAAATATCCAGGATTAAATTTAAGAAGAAACAGAGCCCTTTATGAAAGCTATAGCATTTTGCTGGGAAAAACATAAAAAATGTGAATAAATAGACATTTCATATTTGAATAGAAAGACTACTTGTTTAAAGATGACAGTTTACTTTAGTCTATATTTTAGTTTGAGTCCAAAACATATATTAACATAGGTTTTAAAATTTTTTATTTGTTCTTTTTATTTATTCATGAGAGTAGAAGGTATTTTGACATTCATACATGGAGTATAACTTCCCATTCTTGTGGTTGTATACGATGTGGAGTAAAACTGGTTCATGTATTCATATACTAACATGRTTTTTATAGCAAGACAGTTGTTTCTTAAAGCTCAGACTTGGCCTGTGCTTGAATAGAAGTGTTGAGGTCAACAGGCAGGGCTTCCCTACTGCTAAGAAAGCTGACCATTAAGCCTCTTTCTCTGAGAATCAGCCTGCATTGATGGTTTCTAATGTAGACAACACCAAGATACATGTCTAGAGAAAAACTTGACTTCTTTTTTTCTCATGACGCAGCACCATACCGCGAGATAAGCCAAAGAATTTCTATGGATCCGGTTACCTCGGAATATGAACTAACATGTCAGGCTGAGGGCTACCCTGAGGCCGAAGTCATCTGGACGAGCAGTGACCACCAAATCCTGAGTGCTAAAACCACCATCACCAAATCCCAGAGGGAAGAGAAGTTTTTCAATGTGACCAGCACACTGAGAATCAACACAACAGCTAATGAGATTTTCTACTGTACTTTTAAGAGATTAAGTTTCACAGAAAACAATACCGCTGAATTGGTCATCCCAGGTAATATTCTGAATGTGTTTACTAAAACATGTCTAACACTGTCCCCTAACAGCTACCATTATGCCTGCTCATCATAGTCATTCAGTGATGGTTGAATGAATGAATAGCATAGTACTTACAAAATGTATGCCATTATGCTATTCCCTCACTTCCATGCATCCAAGTCATAATGCTACTTAATACACATTCAGCAAATATTTATGGAATATTCCCTACTTGCCACGTAGTATATTAAGGATTGGGTATTTGTAGAAGAATAGGACACAGTTCATACTATCCAGGAAACAGGTAAGAAAAGAGGCAATCCAGTTGTATGTTGGAAATGCTCTTGTAGTTGGGACATCAGGAGGAACCTGAGAACAATACTCAATTCAGGACTTGTTTTAGGAATCCAAAGTCTAGCACATCAGAGCTGCTCCCTTCTCTCCACAGTTTCTGGGCCAGGAAGCAAAGGGAATGTACTTTTTTATCTTACTCCAAATGCTCCTCTCTCAAGCTATTCTGTGGGTTTTCAACTCAAGACATCCTGGTTGGACCATAGAATGAAAGGCTGCATGTCCCTGGGTAAATTACTAGACTTTTGTGGGTTCCACATTCCCTGATTCCCTGAAGGGGGTGTGTATGTGTGTGTGTGTGTGTGTGTGTGTGTATATATATATATATATATATATATATATATATATATATATATCAAGGTTTTTGTAGGGGAAAAATAAGCTATAGTATATGCAAATGATTTGAGACCCTGTGAGCCCAAATTCAAGTATTTTTATTCCCACTACTCAGCAGAAGTAGGTGGAATAGGTGACAGTGTCTGATGAGTCTTGGGCCATTTGAATAAGTGAGGAGGATAAGCATGATGATTAGTACAAACCCAAAGGTGTTCTGATGAGAAGTGCTTTTCACTGCCCCTTCCCCCTGTAGATGTTGACAGAAAAACTCCATGTACTTCAGAGAAAACTACTGGAAAATTGGATAGAAAAGTCAACCCATTTGAAAAACCAATCCAGGGTGCTCTTTTAAACAAAAAGAGCGAAAAGGCTTTAAAAAAGTAGAGATGCTGTTTCTGGGATTGGCCTTCAATTAAGAGCTTTATTAGTGGATTCCTGCCATTTAAAAATTGTCTTATGACAACTTATTTGTGTGGCAACTTGGAGTAAGTCACCTAACGGCTATGAGTCTGTTTTCTCAACTGCAAATTGGGGATTTTTTCTTACCTGGTATGCCTAACTTGTAATGTTGTTTTGAGACTCGAAATATGTATGAACAGGCTTTATAAACTAACAGGCTTCATACACAAAGTCCAGCTGCTGTTATGACTTTAAAATTCGAAGTAGGAAGTTAGGAATCACGGGTCTCAGCTGGTAGTGAGGTTAAGCAAGAACAGACTTATGGTGAAAGAGGAGTTAGCAGTCTCCAAGCATGCATGTGCTGTGGGACCCCTTTAGCCCCTGCATGAGACTGCAGACAGAGAAACTGGTGAGAGAAACCAATGGTGTCCCAAGGTGTTCAAACTCGGGAAAAAGATAACAAATATTGGTCCTTGATCATGACCATGGATGTGGGGAGGCAGAAACTCCTTGAACAGTGCCAGTTGGCCTTCCAGGTTCCACAGTGGGCCATCCTTGCCATGTACAGTAGACTTCCAACTTCTATATTAAAGAATGTAAGACAAAGTAACATAGTGCATTCTGCCATTTAATATTGAGCAGGCATTCCCTGTGGTACTATGTAAGCACCACACAAGAAATTGCACCTCACAAGAAATTTCTTAGCCTTTCCATTTTGTAGTCTGGTTAAAGGACTTGCTGGAGATCTCAAAGCTGTCCAGTGGGGCCAGAATTAAGTCCCAAGTCCATCTGTCCAAGTCCAGACCTTCTTCCACTTCTCATGCTACTTCTATTCTCTTGTCAGAGATATCTCATCATTCTAGCCACTCACTAGCCAGGAGCTTCAGGATTTAAGAAAATTAACCTGAAACTAAATAAAATTATACTTCAAGGGATGATTATTTCCCTGACTAGTTCCCATGAAAATTTTCTCTTTGGTCTTATTTTCTTTTTCAGAACCATCTACATTACTTCAAAGGAATCACTTTGTGAAGCTGGGAGCTGTACTGTTTTGCTTTGGTGCAGCATTGACAATCCTGTTCTGCTTAAGAAAAAATGGTATTTCTTTAATTGCAATGGTCTCCCCTAGGGATGTGAAGTCTTTGAAGGTTTCATTGTTGCCACAGTGACACTTAATAGGCAGAGCCAGAGATGCTGAATGTCCTGCATGTATAGGACAATCCCCATCAGGGGGAATCTATCCCACTCAGAATGTTAGAGTACTGCCTTATGCTGCCTTCCTGTTAGCTTTCCCTCTCAGGGCCCACTTTCAACTATGCAAATGGATTTTAGCTTTGCCACTGTGTGGAAACTGTGTATTATCTCTTCCTTCAATGCTGCTCATTTTGCTATACCTATTTTGAAGGGTGGCATTGAACCCTGTAGTTGCATTTTCAAAGGGTGAGAATTGAATAATGTCTGCAAGGAAATTGGCTTGGTTTTGCACGGTGGCACCAAGATATCTGACTGTTAATAGCAATCACAGTGAAGCTGAGTGGAATTGCCAGAAGATTAGGTGTATAGTGGCAAGAGGTAGAAGAATGGGCATGTATGGAGGCTGAAGAAGACTCAGTGTCATGCAGCTTCGTTCTACTATGCAAATAACCACAAATTTATAGAAGAGAATATACTTAAATTCCTGTTGGTTCCATTGAATTTGAGTCTTATATTAGTTACAACATTATATTGAGCTGGTTTCTTTTTAAAACTTTTTTTATTTTTTAGTTGTAGTTGGACACAATACCTTTATTTATTTATTTTGATGTGGTACTGAGGATCGAACCCAGGGCCTCACACGGGCTAAGTGAGYGCTCTACTACTGAGCCACAATCCCAGCCTTTGAGCTCATTTCTGAGTTTCCTAAGAAATAAATAGTTCCTTCTATAGAGCTATATATTTACCATGGAGTATACTGCAAGATTTCTGGAGGAGAGTGTTACATAATTTTAAAAATAAATTGCATGTGCTTATTTGTTTACACGCCCATAGGAATGATTAAAATGCAAGAAAATGAGTATATTCAAATAATTTCCTCCTAAGATGATTCAAAGTAAACATTTCCCCCCAATACTTTGAGATTATGTACCGAGAGATCCAATGATGATGTTCACATAGAGGTGTCTGATGTCACATAGGGAAGTAGAATATGAAGGGAATTCCAATACTCATTTAGAAATTCCCCACAACCCCCTAGGAGGGTGGGTGGACCTGGGAAAGTATATAACTGAATGAGTACAGATCAGTTATTTTCAAAGAGTAGGCCCTTAACAGAACTGAGACAGTTAGCCAGAATATATGGGTCAAGTTTCAGTAACAGAGGTATCGAGATGGGATGGATTTGCACGAGGAAATGATTATTACCAACTTGCATTTTGAATATTCCCTTGGAGAAAAGATTAGTTGGCATTGGGAATGGCCAGAAAACCAATAAAGTGCCTCAGAATATGGTCCATTTCTTTTTAAAACCATGGAAATGAAAGTATATACTCCTAAAGAAAATCTAAGAGCAAAAGTATATATTCGAAACTGCGGAATTAATTAATCTCTTGGGTTTGGACCTTGGAATAAGGAAATTCACCTGAGTTTCTAGGGAATAAAAATGTTTCATAGGAACCTGGAGTTTAAACTTGAGTCACTGTGTAAGGTATGGTGTTGTACTACATGAAAATGAAAATTATTTCTCTTTCTTCAGTGAGAATGCTAGATGTGGAGAATGGTGGCATCCAAGATATAAACTCAAGGAAGCAAAATGGTAAGAATGTCATAAAGAATTGGGAAGTTAAAGGAAAATGAATAAAAAAACTAAAGTAATAACGAGGAGAATTCTGTCCATCACAGTCTCCCCTCCTTTTGGAAAAGGCTGGTTGTTGGAATTGCTGGTTCCTCTTTGCCTCACAACTCTAAGAACCCCTTCCATTCTGAGGAGGTTTAGGACTGACCCTCCATAGGAAAGAGGAGACAAGAGGGGAAAGGAGAAGGCAGCTTCTCTTCACTAACCTTCTTTTGCCCTGCATCCCAACATCTCCTGCCACAGGGGACCATGTTGACTTAAGTGAGTGGATAATTAATCCTACAGTGTTGCATACCAGGCACTGTTAACTGATGAGTGTGTGGTATATAGTGTCTCATTTAATCCCCTTACCCCACACACCAAAAGAATGAGAGAATTCTAGTATTCTAATACTAGAATTATCTCCATTTTAGGGCAGAGAACAGAGGTTCATGAAGGTAATTAAAAATACCCCCAAATACACAGCTTGTGACCAAAAACCAAGTTTGTGGGCCCACTAACCTGACCATGGACCCTTACTCTTCACCTATCTGCTTCAATTCATTTTGCTACAAATGCCTACATTTATAAAAGGGCAGAGAAACCTCATCCAGCTGATAGAACTTAAAACAATTATATCAAATCTTCTAATTYATTTTAATGTAGTTAGAAACAACATTTAACAATGAGCCCAAGTTTAAAAAGCCCAGGTAGGTTTCATCAGGTGGTTAATTTGCGCTGTACAGCTAATTAGTCTACGTGTGGGTCATCCTAGGGAACTGACCCTCCCAGTTTGCTCAAAACTTGGGGGTTTCTCGGGACATCAGACTTTCAGTTTTAAAACCAGGACATTCCCAAGCAAACCAGAAGTTAGTCATATTTTATCATTCAAGGGTAATTGAGCATAAATATAATCTGCCCCTTTCTCTTATTGAACACTGATCAAATGGTTAGAAAATATGAGTTTCGTTTCTTGTCAATTTCTTGTTTTTCCAGAACCCTGACCCCATGCAATTAATATACTGTTATCATTCTTTCAGATACACAGTTTGAAGAGACGTAACCAGCATTGAAAATTACATTTTTCAAGCAGGGATTCTTGGCCTGTTGTTTGGGAGTTCATGGATGAAAGGGCCCATGGGATGCTGCTGATGATGTTGGAATTAAAAGGCCCAAATATTGAAAATGGAACCTGGGGAAAGAAGAGGAGAACAAAGAAAGATGGGAGTAGAAAGGGGAGCCTGGAAGGAAACCTGGGCACTTCAACATAAGCTGAGAGACTTGTTGGTGCATGTAAAAGGGACAAAGAACACTTCTGAATGAGGCGTCTCCAAGCAAACCATCCATCACTCATGCTAGGAAAGTGGGTTGAGGATCCCTGATTTCATGGATGTTCTTGCAGAAGTGCCCTTTGCCTCTCCTTGTCTTCTCCACCTCCTCGTGTTGCAACAGTGTTGAAGAATGAGTTGTTTCTATTTATTTCCAGTCTGAGGGGTCTTGTCATATGACTGTGGTTATGAATGATTTCTTTTGAAGACATACTATAGAAGAAGTTAAAATTTTGTCACCAAACTCTATACTTAACTGCTTGTTTGTGTTCAGTGAAACATCTAGATACTAGTATTCTCTGTAACTGACATTAAAAATTGGAAGCATAGAAAATAAGCCATTGGTTTGTATAGGATTTGACCTTATATAACTTATTGATACTTTGTTTGACTTGACTAATCCTATTCTCAGACCTCAAGGGTCTGCTGCAAAATCTGTTCCCTTTAAATATCAGATTTATAACTGTGTGGTACTATACACACATGATCCCATATATTCCTGTCCTTACAACCACTATTATATCCATTTAGCAGCTGTGGAAGCAAAGAGATTAAGTAGCTTGTACACAGCAGTAAATAGCAGTCTTCAGATTTCCTCAATTTATCTGCTGTCCTTTTGGAATACAATTTACATCTCTATTTTAAGAAATGTGTTTATTTAAAAAGTGTTTAAATATCTTTGTATGTTACATGTGCCTTGCATTGGGCCAGGCATTGAGTCTACAGAAGTGAGCAAGACAAAATATCAGTTGCATAAACATGATAATAAAGCAATTTTTAGATTATAGCAAGTCAGTATTTAAAAAAAAAACTGTGGAAAATAACTCTGGAATTCCTTTCCTAGCATTATATTTATCCCTGATATGACTTTACCATACTTCTCTATGTAGTGTGTGGTATTTTTAGCACCTTCTTTTCATTTTTTCTCCATTTATGCTTATTTTATGTTTGCACAAAGTGATGCCCATGGGTTCTCAGGTTACAGTGAGTCATTCAAGAGTCAATTCAGCATTGAAGGGCAGAGTTGTTTTGTTGTTGTTGTTGTTGTTTGGTTTGGTTTGGTTTTCTACTGGGGATTGAACACAGGGCCCTGCAAGCTCTCTATCTCTGATCTGATCTGCATCCTCAGCCTTTTTTATTTTGAAACAGAGTCTTGCTAAGTTGCAGAGAATGGCCTCCAACTTGCAATCCTCCTGTGTTTGCTACCTGTGTGGTTGGAATTACAGGTATGTACCATTGTACCTAGCAATGGCCTTATTATTAACTCTGTATGCAAGAAACATGTCAAAAACTTTTTAAATATGTTTTTTTTTTATACCAAGGATTGAAATCAGGAGTACTTAACCACTGAGCCACATCACCAGCCCTTTTTATATTTTACTTTGAGATAGTGTCTCACTAAGTTGCTGAGGGCCTCCCTAAATTGCTGAGGCTCGCTTTGTACTTGCAATCCTCCTGCCTCAGCCTCCCCAGCCTCTGGGATTAGAGGCATGCCCCATTACACCCTTAGTATAAATTCCACCTTGATGTTGCACTTGCATAATTACATGTTATTTCTGGAAATTCCAGCAAAGTACCTTGGCTGCTGGCTACCCTGGACCCTTATCTGCACCAGAAAGGGCCCATTTTCTCTGCTTAAACCCTTCAATGTCACCATCTTTTATTCCTACATGGGCCTCATAAGATATTTTTTTCCAGAAGTGCTGAGATTCAGATGACCTTTCAAAACTTTTCCTTCACTCCTGGCAATTTATTAGCATCTTCTTTGTTTTGCCACGTGTCAATACTGAAGAAACAGAGTCTCCAACAGAACCCCTTATGTTATGTGTTTCTACTTATTTATTTATACAATAATTTGTGTGACAATGTCCTTTGTTTGATACAGACTGTGGATGAGCAAGACATTCATTTGTTCCATACATTCACTCCATTCCTAAGTCTCAACACCTCGTGGTGTTGGATTTATAAGCACTTTAACCCTGTTGTTTTGTGTTTCATTGTAAATTACATATGCAGAAATGTCATCTAATTCTATATTTGATTGTCATTGTTTGTACTTGCATTAATTTAATAAAATATTTATTTTGTTTCTCATTATGCTAATATGTCCATTGTCTTATTTTCTTGGTGTTGTATAAAGCACTTCCAGTTTTATCTACCAATAGGAAAAGTTACTTGGAATATCTGCAGCCCTCTTCATATTGAATGGATGGATGGATAGATGATAGATAGATAGATAATAGATTCTGGGTTTACACAGTATGTTCTTTTTTGGTACCAGGGATTGAATTCAGGGGCACTCGACCACTGAGCCACATCCTCAGCCCCAGTTTGCATTTTTTATTTAGAGACAGGGTCTCATTGAGTTGCTTAGCACCTTGCCATTGCTGAGGCTGGCTTTGAACTCACAATCCTCCTGCCTCAGCCTCCAGAGCTGCTGGGATTATAGGCATGTGCCACCATGCCCAGCTTACACAGCATGTTCTTGAATCCTACATAATGAAAGAAATCAAAATAATTCATTTTTTAAAATAATTCACTGAAAATGTTTATTTTCTTTCTATAGTTTCTTTTAGGACAAAACCAAGACAAAACACAAATTTTGTTACCCTGCCAGGTGCAGTGGTATACACCTGTAATTCCAGGAACTCAGGAGGCCGAGGCAGGAGGATCACAAGTTCAAAAMCAGTGTCAGCTACTTAGCCAGGCCCTAAGCAACTTAGCCTGCCTCAAAATTTAAATAAATAAATAGGGATGGATATGTGGTTCAGAAGTTAAGAGTCCCTGGCTTCCACTCCCAGTACAAAAAAAAAAAAAAAAAATCTGTCATCCATATTGAAGATCTGAGGGAGAGAAGATAGGAAATAAGGAGGGAGACTCAAGAGGCATATGGAAATCAAGGGGCTTTCCTCCCAGAGTACACCCTTCTCAGATCTGTAAACATGATGTACAAGCTAAAGCACATGAAGCTAGATGTATTTCAATCTCCAGGTTTTAAAAAGGAACTGAGAAACCTAGAACCAGGCCAAATTGAGGATGAAGGTCTAAGAATTGAGTGGGACCATGAAAAACATCTAGATTTTAAAACAAGATATCATTCAAGGAAGAATGGATCTTTTAATGTGGCATCTTGTTTGAGTACTTAGTCATCAAATTCAATTTAATGAGGCTTTTGATCATTTCTCTGAATCAGATGTTTTTAAAGGATGATGTTGGCTATTTCTAATAATATACATTAGATTCTTCGTTTATTTTCCAGTACTGGGGATTGAAACTGAGGTCACTTTACCACTGAGCTATATTCCCAGCCCTTTATTTTATTTAAGACAGGCTGTCACTAAATTGCTCAGGCTGGCTTCAGACTTGCAATCCTCCTGCCTTATCCTCCCGTGTAGCTGGGATTATATGCACATTCCCTAGTACACCGAGCAATATCTCACCATTTTTATCTGGGAAAAACATAAAGAAACAATCTTCCTGGCTGGCTTTGGTGATCATAGTTACAGCCRGAATTTTGTGACATTGGGAGGGTTTGTGTATAGAAAAGATAACCTGAGAGCTGAAGATGGAGCTCAGTGGTACAGTGATTGACTGACATATAGGAGACTCTGGGTTCAACTCCTAGCGAAAAAAAAAAAACTTAAAATGAGCCATAGCTTTCATTAAACTTTTCTCCAGCCACTTTTCAAGCTGTGGCTGTCTGCCATAAGCAGGTAAATATATTTTTATCTAAATATTTTAGAAAACATACAGATTATTGCTATTTTTATTTTTTTATTTATTTTTATTTTTTTATTTTTTATTTTTTTAACAGGGTAGGGGGAAACCAGGGAGTGAACCTAGGGACACATAACCACTGAGCCACCCACCTCCCCAGCATCTTTTCATTTTTTACTTTGAGACAGGATCTTGATAAATTGCTTAGGAACCTATTAAATTACTAAGGCTGTATTTGAACTCACAATGCTCCTGTATTAGTCTCTATAACTTCTGAGATTATAGGCATGCACCACCATGCACAGAAAGATTATTACTATTTTAAACCTGAGAATTCAGAAATGACTTTGCACTATTGATATCCCTGATCAAATTTGTGAAGACAGATTATCCTGTTTTTAGAACTTTTCCCTACCCTAGGCTCCCAAAGTTTCAAGAAAATTTTTATAATAAACCAACTTACCCCCTGTTGTAATTTAAAATACCCAGAATCATTTACATTTTTAAGGAAGTCAGTTTTGAACAAATGAAGTAAGTGTAAGTGGGTCTTATCATTAATTAATTATGATGATTATTACTATTTGGTGAATGTATACTGTATTCCAGGCACTGTGTTTCATACATTATCTCATTTAATGCTATGTTCTGACAGGGAGTTGTACCAAATAAAGGCACTGTGTTTGCCTGGAGAGTCAAATCAGGAACATTAAATAAACTGGAATATTTGAAAAGCAAGAAAAGTATATAGTGATATTACTTGGAAGTTTTAAAAACAGAAGTTCTTTTTTTTTCTTTTTGAGAAAAAAAGGAAAAAGAAGTTTTATTGTTTTGCTAGCAAAGGAGAAACACAGGGGACTYCTGTCCCAGAGACTGTGATTCTGCCCATCAGCAGGAACAGAGGGAAAACAAAAGTCCTTATTATCATTCTTGCTAAAAATTTACTTATATCTTTTCTCCTCAACACAAGAACATAAAATGGCCATTTATAAGTAATGCATATAAAAATAAGACATTAATTTTGAATGGGCAATAAGTGGCCAAACAATGGCTAAAATATATGGTTCTGAGATTCATAGTTGTGAAGCTATCATATGTAATATCCAGTTGTTACCAGTCTCAGGTCTGATTGTGAATTCTAAAGTAGAAAATTGCAGGAAGTTTATAAATCCATTTCAATCCAAGGAAGCGTTATCACTGAAAACAAATTTCCAACTTCCTCCTTCCAGTCAGTGTGACCTTTCTAGGAGGTCTCTTGCACAGGATGAGAGCTGCTGGGTATGGTAACACACACCTCCTGCTAACTCAGGAGGATACAAGTGCAAGGCCAGCCTCAACAACTTAGCAAGATCCTGTCTCAAAGTAAAAAATAAAAAGGCTGAAAATGTAGCTCAGTGATAAAATGTCCCTGGGTTCAATCTTCAATATTAAAAAAAAAAAGCAAGATGAGAACTGTTAACCCTATCTTGCCAGGAAGAGAGAAGAGAGTACAAAATCTCACTCATGACTTAATCCCATATCAGTTTTTCAGGCTAGGGTTACCAAGGTGGGATGGAGAGGTTAGGAATGTTAGATCTTGGCCCCTGTTAAAGGAACACCTACTGCAAATATAAGTTTGAGAAAATGAATAGCAGCATTCTTGATGAAAGGGAGGCTAAGATCTACCCAGTCTTTAAA